ACTACTATGCGCAAACTGATACCACCTTAGATGTTTGAACTTGGCTCATCTATCGTCTCAATCAATTAAGCCTTTCGGATCCACAATAAAACAGAGTTTACACTATTTAGATGGTGGTTGGAGGTAGTCAACAGGAAACCCTGGACCCGGGTTTCGTGCTACTTGGCACTCGTCAGCAAGGTGTACCTGTAATCTTGAGGGAACTGGTGCTCCCTGGCGGATTCGATCTCGTGTCACCCAGCTTCACAGTCAGAGACGTTACCACTGAGCAAAAGGATTCACGGAAGATCTTTTCCTAGTTGATTTTTCTTATTATTATTGATACATGAGTCATTGTACCCACTAAAATGATCTTATTATTTTTTTTCTAAAATGTTATGAAAATGCGAAAATTTTTATCTACTTTGTTAAAACTGATGTTAAAAATTTATCGTTAGACTACTTCAATAAAACAGTATAATAAAGGAATGTAATAAACACTAACAAATAAAAATTGCTATGATTTCAATATTAAGTCAAAGAACCAAAATATCAGAAAGTGTGGCGGTATTAATCAGATATTTTCATGTGACCTTGAGTACAGGGCACAAAGAATTTCCATATCAAATGATTGGATTCAAATTTCACTGGTTTGTTTGAATGTTCTGAAACAGCTAATTAGAATAAATTAGGGAGATGTCTTGGTAAGTAGTCAGTTTAAAGTTGATTCACTTATATTTTAATAGTAACAGTCTTAACTAATGAGTCATCATGGGAGCCAGTGTGGTTATAACAGTTTACTAATGAACAAACAACTATTCTACTGAGGTAGAAGTCAATCCAAGTATTTTATTTCACCAACAAAAATAATATTGTAAGTAAACTATCATTAACCTAGCCAACAAGTATTTCTAAAAACATGCAAACATGGTGGAAAATCTTGTTTAAGAAACTTTTGCCAAAAACTCAACGAAGATGGAAAGTCACTGATAACTTGCAACCCCTAGATAGCACTTTCGGACTTTTTCATAGCATAAACTAAAGTTTGCACCTCTGATTATATCTAAAACAGATGAACACGTGAATCCATAACTTATGTTTCACACTTTCTAACTACGTACACATGCTTCTGTAGTGGTTCTCCTGTCCGGTAATCGAACTTAGATTCCATTACTGTGGAGTTATTTAATGGTGAAAGTGGTGTGGTAAAGCCAATTTACATTTTACTGTTGTCGTGCAATAAATATTTGTTCTTTTCTTCTCATCACATGAGAAAATATTTAAAATGTCAACCTTGTGCAATAACGATGAATTATTGAATGACCAATTAGTATGCATAAAACAACATTTGGGAAGCCGGTAATGGTCAGAATAAGTCAGTTGTAAATAGCCAAACTATAGCCTCAAGCACAATGGTTAGAAACTTTGGGGAGAAAACATAAGTTTAGATGCAGTTCGTTGATGAATTTCACTAAATTCGAGATCCAATCTCTCTTGGTTTTATATCATTCAGCGAGTGTAATAGGCTGTCTTGGAAAGATTAGATTAATAGTTTTAAGCAGTATATTTGGTGATTACATTATGTATAACAATTTTGTAAGATTACTGTTCTACTTTTTCATGACAAAAGTATGATTTTCACCAAAAATTGTTGATTCCTTCAGCATAACCTCAAGCACTTTCATAGTCTAAAATGTGTAATGATTTATGACTTGGCAGTTTTTCAGAAACCCCGGAAAGCTGTTACATGGGAAAAATTTCATCATTTAGTCCACTTAAATATGTTTCGAGTTTTTTTTGTTAGCAATAATAGTTTCACAATACAATTAAACTACTGTTTAACCAAAGATAGTAAATTTTAAAAAGACATAGTATCTTAATCGTTTGCTTGTTACTGACACGGATAATTATAGCCTATTTCTTGTACCCATTTGTTATTTTAGAAGTATGAGGTAGCTGAATATTTCCGATATATTTTATCAACAAAATCAACAAGGAACTATGACACTACAATTTGAGAAGTCAAGCTAGCCGATTTTAATGATATTGCTCTTTGTAGTTTGGAAAATCTGCAGTAGTGGCTACCGTATATTCTTTTATTGATTAATCTTGAAGATTATTACAGCTTATTATTTTGAGAACAGTTCATGTAAATGTCAACTTAACAACTTTTCTAGAGATATACTAATGACGATTCTTGTTATTTGCAACAAAATATGTAATGTTGCATAGGAAAACTAAGATTTGTTATCTCTTCTGCACAACCACAATCTCTATATTAATACTGTACATGTGTAAGGAATTCTATGATATAAAGGGAATCGAAACTAAGTATAACATCTTGAAATGGAATAGTTCTCTCATTTGTAATAAATAGGAAGAAAACATTTTTCTGAAGTAGAAAATTAACGACATTCATATTAGTAGACAGCAAAAACACGTCATAGAAAGATTATATGTAGATCCATCAACTTTATAATGATTGGTACACTTAGACATCTTCTTAGAGCCTAAACCATCTGAAGATTATTTTGTGGATTGTTTATACCTTTATCATCAAACTATTGTGTCATTGTTCCTGTTTTAATGCTTATTAACATGCTAACCACTGTTGCTAGTCAGTTTCTAAAGAAACTCAGAATACACCATAAATATTTAGTTATTACGTTTATATGGGCTCATAACTAACTTTTTTCACTGAAAACGATTATTTGATTAGAATAGTACATACAACCAAACAATATTGTTTTCAATCAGGTATCCATCAGGATTTATTCTAATATACATGAATACTTAAAGTCAATGCTCACAATGTAATATATTACATAACTAAAAATTGGTGGTAATAAGATAAGAATAATAAAATAAGATTCTATTAACATATGAAATAGGTTAAACTTGGGTAAATGGACTTTAAAATAATAATCACAAAACATTATGTAATAAGAATATAAATGGAAGGTGAGAAATGACAAACAAATACAGGATGTGAAAAAAAAATCAATAAAATTGTTCATTAAGTCATTCACAGGTAAGGATGGGGCAGGAATGTGACGAATTTCTTTTCACTATATAAATTAACTTTCTAAACTAGGTTATGATTTAAAGTTAGGTGAACTTAATTTATTCTCTGAAAAACTGGCCTACACTGAGTCATGAAAAGTAAGAAAATTTAATTCCTCTACTCATTGTGATACTATAAATATATTGTTTCTATTGGCAACAGTTTACCCAATGCTCAATTTATTTGAAATTGTCAATTCAAACCTTGATAATAATACCTATAAGGCTATAGGTTCGGATCCCTATAGCTTCTGGTATATATAGAAGATGGGATCAAATCCCATTGGGAAATGACGATGGTGTACGAGGGATCACTAGAAACGTGTTGCTTCTATCTGTCATATAATTACTATCAACCAGATGTGGCATAATAAAGATATGTATTGCTTCATCTGGTCCCTTCAAAGTCAAGGTAGTAGATGCTCACTTGTTCGTTGGTTAAGTCGTCTGGTAGTATATTCGATATAGTCATTTCTGTAGAACCAGCTGAATCTGTAGATGAACATCGAAGAGGGGAACATAAGTAATTACCCTTACTTTAAGTAAACATCACTGGTCTAACAGAACATGTTCATCTTAAATTAGGTGCGTAAAATATCCTCTTAACTGACCTCGCTTATCTATCATCTGATTGTAGGTTTATGATCAGATAAGGAACTGATTATTCATATCAATAATGCATGCCACCATCTACAGCGGTAATATTATGAGAAAGTACTTCGTTTGTTTTCACTGTTCGCCGTTTGTTTTTCTCAATTCAACTTTTTCATTTGTTCCATCTCAGAAGTTCAGTAAATTGGATAATAAAAAAATTTCCTCTGCTAGAATGTGTAAACTAAAGTATAGATTTTAGATTCTACAGACGTATTTTAGATAATCCATAAACCAAATTTTTTAAATGAATAACCCGTCTGTTTAATTTGTTTCAACCTCCTAACTACCTTTCAAATCCTATTGGTTTTATCACTAATTGGTTTGATTTACACTGAGTTGGTTATTCGATAGGAACTACTAGTTACAGTGGGTTTTTTCATAAGTGGCTGTTCCAAATTTTAGCGATGTATTTTTTTTACGGAATTGAAATTATTCTGAGCAAAGTCGTAGGAAATAAACGAACATATCATGTTTATATTGCTTGTTGTGAAGAATTATTGAAGCGGGGAACAGGACTCCCACAATTTATCAACTCACAAACCGCCTGTCTAAATCATAGTCGTCTGTTCATTAATAACATGTTTTGAGATGGATTTCTGGGACTTCTAATGAAGACCTGAGAGATATGGGAACATCTAGGAAGGAGATGAAGAGTAGCTCACCGATGACATCGAATGATTTTCTACTTATATCGTAAACTGATGGAAGTTTGAAACGTAAACTGTTGGATCTTAACTCAACAGTTAAAATTATTGTTCCCTCTCAGTAAGCGAATAATCTGAATCTAAATCCCGTATGAGTTTTCGGGCGCTCAACAGTAACTAGTCTTAAGCCAAATGGACACTTTATTTCTATTATTTATTACTATGGCTGAGTCACTCGGTGTTAAACTACTGATGAGATTTACAAATCCAATAAATACCGAGTAGATAGTTAAATACTAATATGAAATCTGTCATGTATAAAGTATCAGAATGCAACCAGAATTTTAAGTCCAAGAAATTCAAAAAAGAGGAGAAACATTGTTATAATCCTTTCATGTTCATATCTTACTTCACTTGTAAATTCTCTAAAATTGACAGATAATTCCCATTTAAACATTAAAAATTAAAAACACCAAGTTCGGCGAAGGGATCTTTTTTTCTCTAAAAATCTAAACAATTTTGATGGAATCTACCTGTTTATAAAATGTATTTCGACTTCATAAAGTTCTTAAAAATATTTTTTGTGGAATTGATGGAACAGGTGATAATAGAAATCAGTCATAAATCCGTTTCCTTTCATTCCATTCGCTATTTTCATAGGATCTTTCATTCAAGGATAAACATTGGCATGAAAGGTGTTTCTTCTGTAGTGTTTGTCAAGCATCGTTAGCTGATAAACCATTCGCCACAAAAGACAATGATTTATACTGTCCAGAATGTTATGACGAGAAATTTTCACCGCGTTGTGATGGTTGCAAAAAGATATTCAAGGCTGGTTCGCGTAAATACGAATATAAAGGATCAACATGGCATGAAGAGTGTTTTACTTGCATAGAATGCAAACAACCGATTGGAGCTAAAAGTTTCGTACCAAAAGATGATGGTGTAGTATGCGTACCGTGTTATGAAGAGAAATATTCACAAAAATGCTGTAAATGTAATAAGGTCAGTGAAATTAATTTACTCTCTCGTGCCACTTAATAAATCAAAGTTTAAGTCAATTGATTTTTCTGTGGTGAGTATGGTTTATGTAAAATGTATTACCACAACTAATAGGTTGTTGTCCTAGGCAATAAATATTTTCGGTTTCAGTGAAACTACTAAAACGTTTCAGATTAGTCACTCGTGGTATGCAGGGTAGTTCTACTAATTTTATGGTATTTCTGCTTGTTTCTACTGTACTAGTAATGATTTAGGTGGTCATTCAATTGAATAACTCATCCAGTTCACTTTATCAGTAATCGAATGTTAGCGAAAATCATAAGGGATTCTGATATATTAGATCAATGATTCTGTTCAGCTGTTTCCACTTAGAAGTTGGTGTTCACCGAACCACAAGTTAAAACTGATGGGTAATGAACAGCCGTTTCAATCTAATAATTACTTACAATTGACTATTTGTCAGATATAAATCATATATTTTAGTGAATAGCAATAACTTTGGTTCTCAACCTACCAATAATTTATCACTAACTGACTCATGCCATGAAGTAATCTCTCTTTCTATAACATATATGCATACACCACTATAGAGCATTCATCAGAATACGATTTGAGTTCTCAATAAAAATTGATGACTTCATGAGCTTGGGATAAGCATTTTAGAATAGTAGATTCAAGCCAAATCATTAATCTCTTATTTGTAAATTGCACGAAAATAGCTTTTGTGAAGGAGGAGAAAAAGTGAATTAGAGACATTGAAACAATATACAATAAGGTTTTATTGATGGATTTATACTAGCATAAACATAGTATAAAATTTGTATTCATCTAATTGACATCTAATGTACATAATTCCCTTCAAGAAATTGTCATCAGTAACATAATAATTGTAATAATAACCAAAAAAAGTTCAAAACCTAGACGCCTTCTTCTGGTAAAAAAAAGTACATTCAGCTTCAAGAATTAGTAAACCTACTTCAACTACTTAATTCCATACCAGTTGTTTATTTTGATTGCATGAATGTCAACTCATGAGTCTCAACCATAAGAAGCGTTGTCCATCGGTCAGTGAATAGGAACCAATATAATTCCGTTCGATCATCAAAGTTTACTAGGATCTATTGATAAAGATCCTAATGTGTTTACTGACCTAGATGACTGAATATTGGATTAGAGTATGAGCAGATTTCATATAATGACAGAAATTTTATTTGATATTGTTTCGTACTTGTCGATACCTATCATCAAGGCAAAGTTCTACTTCAGAGCTCTATTCTGTATCACTCATACTTAATCTAACCACTGATCCCTTATAGAATTGAACAAATTATACTAAGCGGTCACTGGGAACAACTAGAAACAATCACCCCAAACTAAATCTTAGCTGTAAAATTATGCACTGTAATAATATCATAAATCTGACTGTGTCAGACTGAAGAATTTAAAACTATGATTAATAGTTTCAGTTCATTTAATTGTGAACAATAAATGTCCTAAAAGTAGGATTATATACCGAAGGAAATCGGAACATTTTAAACAATATTTCATTCAAATACATGCACATATGTATTTGGCTAAAAGTCTATGCCATAGATCATTACAAAAAAGTTATCACTAATCAATAGTCTTCTTGTTTTTAATATTTTTTTTCCTTAAAAATAAGCTTGAATTCTTTGCTTTGATCAATGAACATGAATTATTCGTTTGTTTTAACATTTATCTTATGGTTGTTGAATAAAAAATATCTCCGAGTTGCACCTTTAGATGAAATCAATTTGGTCGGTAGATATTTGGATAGTACAGTAAAGTAAAATTTTTGTATATATATTATTGCCTGGTGAAATAAAGACGAAAATAATAAACAAATCGGATCGTATTGTTTGAATTCATTCGTAATAGGTTTTATGATTAATTTCATTTTAGACAAAATGATTAAAAAGCTTGTGACTTAAGGCTATATTGAGGCAATCCACACAGGATGCACATATGTCAACATGAGACTGATCAATTACAGTCCTAAGTAACAATGGGACGATACAAGTAAAGCAACACCAAGTAAATTGAACAATGACTTTTGTTTCATTTAACCAACTCTCCAATATAAAACACAAGTATTAAGATTTGTTAGTATCACCATAAATCGTTTAGATTGGAATAATGTCAAAAAATAATTTAAAAGGGTTTCAATGATTAAACAATGATGTATGAACTAAATAGTATAGGATACAACCGTCGTTCATGATAGTCAGAGATTTTCACTAATCAGATCCTAGTGATATGAAAACTAAATACTTGATTTATTCTTCTGGGTTTGAATTCATCAGATGATGTATAAAGTACTTTTGCATTGGTCGAGTTGATTTGGATCGAGTTTAACAACCTTCAGTTAGGAAATACTGATTTAGACTTATCGAAATGGTGTTATCAAATATCTGAATAATTTTAATGAGTAAATATAGTAACGCACTTTCTAAATACATTACAGTGACGCACAGAATTCTTAAGAAGGTATTCATCTATTATAGCAGATAACCTTCAGATAAATTCTTTCTCTCTAAATAAATAAAATTTGTCATTCATTTAAGTGTATTGAATTGTATCTGAATCAGAACAAATATTATCTGATCACTTCATTTGATAGCAATTGAAGTAATATGGGGTAACATTATATATATTAGTTGGTGAGTGCAGTGGCGATTTCAAAGTTAAGGTGGTTTTCCACATGATTGGAATCATCTTCAAAATAAACCGATAAACCAAATAACAGTTGTGTAAGCCTTAGTAAATAAGTTTGACCTAAATCTTCAAAATTCTAGCGAGAATCCGCAACTCATAGAGTTCAGTCATACTGAAAGTTAAATAAGTATCTTTTATAACATTTTTTGATTGTCATATTATTTCAGAAATTAATAGTTGGGAACATGAACCACTGAATTCCTACTTAGTAATCTAAAAGTAACATCTTCATTACAAAGCCTAAATTTCCCTGGTTATACTCCTTGCGCCGTCATAAATATGCACTACTGGATGGTTCTAGACTAAGAGTAAACAGATGTTCAGTTGTAACATTTTTTATTAATGGTTCTTCGGCTAACATTAATCTATGATCAAATGTATTTCAAAATTTATTTATTTATCTCATTCTTATGAGACCTTTCAAAAAAGACATTAGAATGCAGTTAAGCAAAGTGTATTCAAGTAAGCACCAATTACATAACAATAAATGTAATACAAGACAGTTTCTTAACTGATATATTGATGAAAATATGATTGCTGTGTATTGGTAATAATAATTATTATTATAAAACAGGAGTTGAATCTACTAACAACTTAGTGCATGTGATGTTTGTGAAGTATTTTTCAGCGTGGAATAGTTCTTTTTCCTTTCTTTTTGTAACTTGAATTGAAATATCATGAAAATGTTAACTCAAAGGAATGACGCATGTGAAAAGCGAGATGTTCACATTAATAACATATACAAACATTTTTCAGTAGTAAGATTTTGACGTATCCTATTTTAAAGATGCACAAAATCACCATTAATTGAAAATAAACAAACAAATGATCCTTAGATTGAGATTTTAAGTATGGTTCTGATGACCAACTTTCAAAATCTGATTTATATTTTCATAATCTCGCGATTTTTGAGATCTCGATCTCTTTTCTTAAACAATAAGAAAGTAAGTAAAAGAATTAAGAATATATCATGAAAAGAATGTACAATTAAGCAGCTGTGGAACTAACTTTCACATGACCCATAAATCCTTTAATGTTCACAATCATGTCTACTGTTTTCTTTATACTGAGATACTTTTAGTAGGTAGACTTGTGTATTAGGTCCTAGTCCATTTTGTCATTTGATCTTTTGTATAATTGTTAATAGTTATTTGGTTTGACTTATGTTATTGTGGGGGTCTTATTGTGTTAGTTTATAACGATTCAGTGATATTTCAAACTGTACACTGAGCACATGCTAATAATACATGTTTATAACTCTTCCAAGTTGTATACATTTTTCTTAGAAGATTATTTCAACAAAGATTGAATTTTTTGACTCAATACCATTTTAAAGTATTCGTCTAGCTCTACATTCATAGGGTGTTATTATTTTCACTGTAACACTGAAACTATCTATGATAACACAACTTTCCTACCATTTTGTATGACAACACTTTTTCTATGAATAATTAAAATGAACTAATGGGAGTAATTTTTCGTCGACTTATTTTTTTTCACTCCCGACATAATAGGCCATTCAAAAAGGTGGGTAACTTATAAAGGTCAACCATGGCATAAAACGTGTTTCTTATGCACAAATTGCAGTTGTGAATTAGCTGGTCAAAAGTTTACATCACGTGATGAGAAACCTTATTGTGCAGATTGTTATACACAATTATTTGCAAAACATTGTGCAAAGTGTACAAAACCAATTAGTGGTAAGTCACTTTTTTTTGTGGCAGTAGGGTGGGTAAAAATTTTATAGTTATATTTCATTGAACTTCATGAACCAAAGGTAGTATGAGATGAGACGTTTGAAAGGATTGGTAAAAACTCATTAATCTTATTTATTTACTTGATTTTTAAAAATTTCTTTCTGGTGAGATAAATTCGTTCATATGTTGATAAACAATAAAAGGTGCCAGTCTTTAATTTACACTTGGAAATAATCTCAGTATACGTAAAATACATACATTTTTTTATTTACGGAACTACACAGTTTAGTAATAAATTTGTAGTTTTTCACCAACTGAAACCTGATAGATGTGAATGGATTAGAAAACTTTAGCACCTACAGTTCGAGAATATGTGGATAATCAAGTATTCGTTCCTTAAAAACTAGATAACCCACAATATTCCTATGGTTATTTACATCTACATTTAAGCACAGTCATACATAATTAACCATGCACTGTTTTCTGTCAAAGTAAATCCACTAATAGTTTTTCATTTATTTTAAACATTTAGTACATTTGCGTTACTGAATCAGTAGATGATTTCTAGATTTTCACAAACTTCAATTCTTGAGTGGTGACTAAAGTAAAGGGTGGAGATAGGAGGACATCTTGGATTCCAATATTGGCCGATTTACGGGAATTAATGGATGGTAATAAACTTACAAGTAGACCACGGGACTAAAGAGACTTCTAAAAAAGACACGAAAATCAATGGAATATTCGGCACTTGATTAATTAGGGTAGAGAAGAGCATAATGTACAGATTTATAGCTTTCTTAAAAAGTTTCCAATAAACAATTTTAGAAATTTTCCTGGAGTCTTAGAGAACTTTCAAAGTAATTATAGATATCTCTTTATATATATATATTAAAGATTTCTTGACTTTCCATAATATTTGGATTATTTTATTTGCTTCTGTTTTTTTCCTCGAAAAATATCTTCTGTCATGGGAAACATCCACCTTATTTTAAAACAAATGAATAAAATCCAGGTTTTGGCGGCTGCAAATTTGTAACATTTGAAGAAAAACATTGGCATTCTGATTGCTTCAATTGTAGTAAATGTCAAAATAGTCTGGTGGGCAAAGGATTCCTTGTTTCGGATGATGGGGTTGTTTGTCCTGAATGTGCAAGATAATGAAGTGAACACACGAGCAAATAAGCACAAAATCACAAAGACAATAGTAAAAAGTCTAAATGATATCAGTAAGAATGAGAATAAAACTTTCAATACTTTCAGTACAATCATAAAAATACACAGAAAGTTAATACACATGATTATGTTTTGTGGTTTTCCTCATTAATATACATTTATGTATTTGTTTATTGTAAGCTGATTTTCTCTTTTGGTAGCTGCTTTCTTTTATTTATTCACTAGTTTATTAACGATCCCAACTGTTCTTCATCTGAATGTTGCATAAATAACTTTTTATTTTCAGTCATTTTATTGATTATATTTATAGTACTTATATCGTTTATAAGTAGTGTCTGCTCTTTTAACTTTTATTTGCTTATTTTTAATAACATACATTTCACTCCGAAATTAAATTATCTCTGATCGATTCAAAGTTGTTTAAACATTTACCTAGATATTTACCCTTTATGGTATCTTTTCAATTAATCACACTGAACGCAGCAAATAATTTCTCTATGCAATTTATATCAGATCAATTTTGTGGACTGACATGAAGAAAAGTTGATCTGTTGACATGTAATGCTTAACTTCTTAAATTCAACTTTCACTATTGTTTGTTATCAAGGCCTTTCCTAATTACCCGGAAGGAAAAAGAGGGGAAGAGAAAGCAATAATGAGAGTGACTAATAAATAAGAAACATCAATTATCCTATTTATTAAAACAATATCCTTTCATTATCATATTCATTTATATTTGATTTATGTTTATTATCACCGTCATATTTCTATGATTGTGTTTTCCCACTATTTTTCTCTTAATAATGTTATTATCATTGTAATAGTGGTTTGGTAACTGTGATGGTATGATAAAGATAATTTCAAACATTACAATACTTCCGCTAGTCAACATTTGTTTTTGTGTATGAGTTTGTGATCCTCTTTATTTTGACTTTATTGCTTGTGCTTTTATTGACCTTTTTATTGGGTCAAAGTAAGAAAGATAATATTTATTAATGTAATATTAAAAATCTTTTTTTCAAATGAATATCACTCACGGTAAAGAAAACAAATGTCTTCTACTGCAATGAATGATATTTTGATTTTTCTTGAATACTTAGTTCTTATCATTATATGTTAGGTTATAAAGTTCAGTGGAATCATTACTGTTATAGTCTCTATGACGTACAGTGAGTATTATGCCGATAAGTGTTAAAGAGAAGTAATGATAACGTTTCATAAAATATGACGAAATGACTGTTCAGAGCTGTGAAATGTGTATTACGTTTCTTGGTTCATATAAACACTACATATATTGAAAATGCATAGCAGAATAGATGTTAGATCACATGAACACCAGTGATGATATCTGACCACTCAAGATATATTCACATACACGAAGCTTTCTAAATGACTCCCTTTAAAACATACAACTCGTTGGTTGGTGGCATTTTTATCCTCGTGTTGGTGTTCCAACTAAAATGAAAACTGGTACCATTATGTAATGAGCTACCGTTTTAAAATGACTATCTTTTTTATACTGAATATTTAATATGTGTTAGAACCTTTAATTTCTTTGTATCTCGATATATTGGGTTGCACTAAAATACCCTCTACTTGTGGTGATGTGATTCTGGCATTTGAAACAACGTTAAAATTGTATGGGTCATTGACTGCGATATATTTAAATCCAAGTGATATGAAAATTGATGTGACAAGCTTCTTGTTTTTTCTCTAAGCTAATTTGGATGAAGTTATGTTCGTTGAATAGGACCCTTGAATTTAGAAGCTTACATTGTCTCCTACATGTTAAAGATTTTGTCCAGAACATCAAAAATATTCCTTAAATAAACCATTCAACTCAGAGTTGAAAATATCACCATAAGTATTCTTCTGTGGCACAAGTCTATCTAATCATTCCATACACTATTATATACGTAGAGTCCATATGATAATATATATTCATTGTTCACATAAATAAATACAAACTCAATTTATCAAGCACCGATAAACACACATAATCAGTGCAACTTTATCTGAATTCAATGTAGATTGAGTAAAAAAGAATCACATGTAAGTAACTTTGGAATTTTTCGCACAAACTACCCAAATTTTCTGCGATTAAAAAATAAAAATCCAAACAATTATCTCAAAACCAAAAATGATTAATTGAATAACAGGAAATCAAGGATGAGAGATTAACAATGAGAATTAAGTAAAAGCGATCAAAATAATGAATACGGTTTTGAATGAAAGTTTAAATCATATTTTTTTTGTTTCTGTTCATTATTCCGAAATTTTCAGTTTGGGGTTGTGGAGATTATTGAATTTCATCAAAATCATGAACCGATTAGTGTTAGACCACCATTGAAAACCTGGAAGTACTTGATAGCTGTTTCATCCCGGTATGAGACTTCTCAGTATTCCCCATCCGCAACCTCGAACACAGGACCTTCGGTCTCATGCAAATGCTTAACATCTAGACCACTAAGTCGGAACCCAACGGTGTTATTGTCTAACTCCAGTTAGTCCACGACAGTGCGCAACCATCTTCCATTTAGAAATTTATTGAATAGAATTATCATCGTGAACTATTGAAAATCCTAAGAGCATTGACATAGTTGTCTACAATCTATTTTTGGACTTGATCTAATGGATATTGCGAATGGATTACAAATGATTGTTTTAATTGATTATGATCGAATGATGAGTGCTAACAAAGCCAGAGTTATCAACCTATTGTCCACACGGAATGAATGTCAAGAAGAAAAATAACTTGTCAGCAAAATGTTAGTCATTTTATGTTGCAAAAATATACATAAATTGGAAAATACTCGACCTAAAGTAAACATTATTGAAATTCATTCGAGCTGAAAACGATTACTAAATTGTTATTTTGTAGGTCATTTGTCAAACAACGAGATTAGGGACTATAATGCTTACCTATAACTAACCACATCACCTCTCCTAAAAATCTGTTGAGCTCACTTGCCAAACAAAAATATTAATATGTCAGAATATTTAGAATCTTCCTCACTATATTCTTCTTTCTTCTGATTTTGCGTTTCTGTATTTCTCAACAGCAGAGACTGAGATATTGAGAAGTTTTAAATTATTTCCCGTTATTGTATGGATTTGCTGTGATTAATTAGTCTTTATTATACATCATTGCATCCTTTGTGAATATGAATGGGTTCTACCTTACGTAGTGTATCAGTTTGGGAAGTTACTTTGTGTTCGCTCACGTCCAATTAGTGTTTTGTGCAAGTTCAATAAGCCATTATTTCATTGCAAACTCATTAAGCAGATGAATTAAGTGAATTTTCAAAACTACATTCTTAACTTAATGATCATGGTATTACTGATTTATTGGGACGCGGCCTAATAATTAACATTATTTATTGCATTCAGTTCACCAAATAAGTTACGACTAATATATGTTCAATTTATTAAAAAATCACTACGTAATACCTCTTTAGTAAATAATAAAAATGTGTTTATTCACTAATCACTGATACCTTAGCACGTTTTACGAAATTCTATTAGGACGTTGCGATTTGCATTGTTGACCAAATTGACAATGTGGTTATAGACTGATGATAATATTCAAAACAGCCTACAGTACATGTCAAAGTTAATTTGTTCAAAATAAGGGACTTAATCTTATAGAAACAAATAAATTATCAGAAAGGAGTTTTGTGGAGATTGTAGTAATTTAATAGTTAATTCATAAGTCGATTAAAGTTAGATAACCTTGAGAAACTTGGAAGCACTGGACAGCCGTTTCGTCCTAGTATAGGACTCCTTAGCAGTGCACATCCACGATCCCGCTTTCGGGATTAGAACACAGGACCTTCGGTCTTGTGCGAGAACGCTTAATCTCTAGACCACTGAGCATAATAATTATTACTTTTTTCTAAACAAAAAGATCATATAATCTTTTCGATATGAACGAAATCGGTATCTGACCGTATTAATAATTTTTGCAAAATAAACTATTGAAGACGAGAGAGAAAATGGTTTTCATTATCTCATTAATATCTTCTTTCCTTAACACAAATTTCTTAGAATACCACAATAAATTTCTCTCTCCTAAATTTTTCAAAAGCATAAGGACTTTAAAGCTTCGGATTATCCCCTTTTTGTCATTAGGACAAAATTCGTACATGGATTATGCTACGTTTAAAACTGGGGATAACTAGAAGTTTGGACCATTGAATTTCAAATTAGTGATCTAAAATTAACGTACTAGTCATGGGACCTAAGGGTTCTGAGTTTAATTTTGTGTATATTGATTGTGAATAGATATGAGAAGAAACCATTGAGAAGCATGGCGAACCGAACACTCCACTCAGCTCACAAATGAGACAGTGCCCTTGAACTTCTGTTTCATAAAGAGTAAGAAAACTTTGGATCTCTGGGTTGCGGTTCACACTTTCACATCTTCGAAGTCAACTTGTGCACTTTCCTGACAAAAACCATCTCCAAACTATACAAAACATCTTAGCATGTATGCATTCATATCCACAGTTTTGAACACTAGTTAACTTCTCTGAATTTCATTGAACAGTTATTTTCTTGTCATTAACAATCATTAAATAACTTCACCCTGAAGTAAGCAACATTCTTAAATGGTGGTTTAGATGTTTTATTACTTGTTTCGGTAGAAACATAACAATTTTCTGCATAGCCGGTTTGTGGTTAGTAGTGAAATATAGGACAGGTATTCTCTTCTATTTCGAACTCGTCAACCTAATGTACATGAATCATAATGCCGGTTTTCGTACTGAAAGTTGAACTCAATTAAATACCATTTCAAATGTCAAATTAAATCCGCCATAGCTTCATGAACATCCCAGATTAGAGTAAACAAACGTGTGTTCTTTTAAGGATTAACGATCCGGAAAGTAATAATAACTTTAGGCTTTGCTGCATTCATATTTCTAGTGAGTTTGTACTGCCTTATTGCTGAATGGCAATGAGTAAATCATCCTTCGTTTGTTTGG